GTTAAGAGGTACTCAGAAATTATTCCTCTAAATTATTAGCAAATGAGTAGTGATTTCAGTATTGAACAAACTAGATCATTCTTGAGCTTTCATAAATATAATTATTATCTACGTTAAAGTGTTTGCCATATTCTGAATATATGGTAAATACCAAAAATTCTGGTAAATTTGGAGTTATATTGTTTATTTTTATTATATGGTATTTACATTTTGGTTTTTTGTGATGTTTGCTATAATGGATAAGTAATAAGATTAGAAACTGAATTCTAGATTACTCCAAAGTCAGTGCTGTTAGGCACACTGCCTGTAATTGCTCAAAGTTAGAATTAGTGCCCTACCCACTTCAGATAGCTAGCTGACAAACTATAAAAGTAAAGATGGCACACAGCTGACTGGGTCAGTCATCTAGAGAGAAAATCTAGTCAGTCACACAAAGGCAAAGCTCATCATCAGAATATTTATGTAGTTATTTATTAATGTAGACTAGAAAAGATACCATTTTTGTTAAATGTATAAAATATATTGCTTTGAGGTAATAAAGATAAAGATATAGATATATCATCTGTCTGGGAAGCATGTTATGTCAACAATAACAATAATAATAATAATACAAAAATCAGCATTAGAGTCTACGTGAAATCTTTTTAGAATTTTTTGTAGAATATTTTTATTAATTCTTTGAGAATTTTTATGGTTTCTCAAACAAAGCATGTACTAAGTCAAGTCTAAGTAATGTGAGGACTGAAAATTTGTCTAATTACAATATCAATGCTACCAGTGATAAAGCAGCTGCCAACCCAGGCCCTTACTGTGTGGCAGCACTGTGACAGATAATTAGCCTAAACATGGTTAGTGCTGTGTACCCATCTACTGAGTGAGACACAGAGTAAAATTGGTGTTTTCTGTAGCCATACAACATAAAAATCAAACAATAAAAAATGAAAAGTTAATTCCAAAGAATACATGATACTGAAATCAAATTATTTATCTATTATACCAAATTTACTTTCTTTAAATGCTAACTCGAAGGTTTAACAAACCGGGATTTGCTATATAAGGGACATGTGATAAAATTTCAATTTCAGTACTCTGGTGAGATACCAAGAGATTTTTATTTTCCTCTAGCAATGTAATACTGAATTTCATCGATGTATATTCCTTAACGATATTTGTTCGAGATTATATTTGATTAGAGAATTTTGTTATTTCTTAGTTTTAATTATTAGCTATTATTGACAATCTAGTTGTATTTATGTTTTTTTATTCACTTATTTTATGGTACAAATATTAGAAGTCATATGTATGTGGTTCGTATTCATCTATGAATGGAAATACTATAAATAATTAAAATTAAGCTCCATTTATTATATATAATTATATATATTAGATTATCCAGAGAAAAATAATGGATATGATATAGATAGGCAAGGTAGGCAGCAAGACAGGCAGATAGACAAGCATGCAACGTGTTATGAGAATTGACACACTGCTTACTGAACATGAGGAGTTTCATCATCTGTCGTCTGCAAACTGGAGAAGCAAGAAAGCCAGTGTGTGACTTATTAAAGCCCTGTGGCCTGAGAAGTAGGAAAGGAAGAGATGTCACTGTCAGCCCCAGTCTGAGACTAATGGCCTAAATAATGTGTGGGAGGAGGAGGGACTATTAATGCAGTTAGAGAAGAAACAGGGAAATCAAGGGTGCTAGCATGTGAGAAGCCAAATGGGCACAGAACTTCCAATTTTAGTAAACATAAAATGCCACAGAAAAAAGGAAACAAATAGTGATTGAAAAGAAACTAGTGGATTTAAGGATGAGGAATCAAGAGATAGGTTCTTAGAGAGTCATAAATGCTGTCAGGAAGTGTAACACAGTATTTAAGTCACAACCATTTGCATTCATCTTAAGAGATCTGACAACGCGAGGAGAAATAACATACTGAGATGCATTATTCTGAAAATTTTAAATATAATTGCTGTAACCCCAATGAAGGATTAAAATGTGAATTTGAAACTGAAAATAGCATTTTTCTATGTATTGACAGAGTTAGAAGGAGCAAACAGGTTATCTTTTGAGGATACTAAAGAAGGTACCAAACGTTTTAGTTTTAGAAGCAGATGGGTTGGCAAATATTAGGTTTGCTTTTTTATTTTGTTTTACTTGTTTTTGTGAAATAAAGATCCATCCTTCAAAGTTTAAAAATGTTGAAGCTCAAGATCAAAATAAATTTAGATTTCATTGTCATTCATTACCAATATTATTTATCTTAAATAAATAGTAAAGATAAAATATGTAATATAAGAATTTAGAATGATTTGCATAAACTATTAAAGTGCTTTTATGGATAAAAACGCAATATATCATAGCTAAAATTATGATTGTCGGTGACTGTTCAAAAGTATAATAATCTGAACTAAACAGGAAGTGAGAGCTTCCTGTGCACATGATATAGTTAGAAATGTCTTGCTTGTATTATCTCAGTTATTTTTTATGATTCTGTACAACTCCATCTGGGAAGTACTGTTATTATTTCTGTTTCATGCACAAAGAAATGAACAGAGAGTTGTTATTTCGTCATGACTCCATCACCTATAACTGACAGCATAGGAAGGCCATAAATCCAGGCAATCTGAAATCTTGAACACTTAGAGCACACTGTGGTGGTGATGGGGTTTACTATGGAAGCTGAACCCATCACTGCCTGGACCCAGCACTTTCTTCTCTTTGCCTAGGTCAGTTGTCATTTTAGGCTGTACTCTCATTGTGGGCTGCCAACTGCCAGCTACCTGCCTACATCCTAACTATATATCTACACCTAAATCTTCCTCAGAGTAATGTTTCTTTTTGAATATAAAAATCAATTCACTACCTCACAAATTATATAAATGAATCTGTGAAAGCTGTTAGGGTCTATCCAGAGAGACTTGCAGCTTGGCAACAGATGGTCCATTTCCTACCAGCAAAAACAAGCTCTGCTGCCTCCCATGCTGTTCTAGTAAGACAGTATTCCCCAGAACACTTCTGTTTGCCAAAAAGGAAGGGAAGAGAAAACATCTAAAAGTGATTCAACTGGAATCTAACTTATGAGGGGCGTGCACTAGCTGGGGAGCAGCCTGGTCACCCTGCTTTCTTGCTCAAACAACCTTGATCACAGGAAAGCCCTAAAAGCGTAGTGTCATTCCCCTGAGTGGCTGGGACTGAAGACTTCCCCAAGTGTGTACATGGACTGTTTCTCTCAGGTCTCTGTTTTGCTTCTTTCACTGTTAATGAAGAAAGGAAGCTAGATACCCCTACATTTTCAGTATTCTCCTGAGACATTCTCATGACACACTGACCACTCTGATGCCCTTGGCGTCTCTGTGTTGTCATGACTGCTCCTGGGCTCAGGCTCCTCTGTGTTGCTGTTGGCATGCTCTTTCCTTCTAAGTCATGTTGGCTCTTAGTCAGAGGAGGAATTGATTCTTTTCTCTATGCTCTTTTCTTTAGCCACCATGTACCAAAAGTATTAACCTCTTCATCTGACGCCACTATCTGTTGTCTTTCTCTGTCTTTATTATCACCCATAAATATGCCAGATGAAATTATTTTTTCTATGCCAATGATCACTAGAAAAAAGCTTCTTAAGGCTGTAAGGAAAAAAACCTTAAAAAATTTCAGTAAATAATTTTGGCAGCAAAATATTGAACTAAGGTCTCAATGTGGGTAAAATTCACCACGTTTCTTAGGCTATTAATAGACATTTATTTGCCACCAAACTAATAACACACAGATGATTTATTTTAAAGCACTGATACGAATACATGACTGTTTATTTAGGATGAGTTTCCGATAATTTTAAGTATGTGATATTCTTTCAAAGTAAAATTACTTAATCAGTTGTAGATATTCATTTTCTAGGAAATGCAAGTAAGTTTTATTTGAAAATGTTTTATTCGTTTTTAGTACTTCTCAAAATGTAGGGTGCCCTGCAGTATAAAAATCTGTAGCAGTATAGGAAATAATTATATCATTGTCACACCAGACTGTCAGCTGAGTGACCTTGAGTCCTAACTGACACCTGACTGAGTTCCCTTGTTATCGCTCATGCAATTTTCTTTACACTTCTGCAAATGTTCATTCTCATTTCTTCTGTGACCCAAGGCTTTCCTTCTCCCTTAAAGTGTTACTTCTGTGCTATATTTTCCACTTAGTGACGTAATCAGATTCATTCTTTATATAACATACCTGTTTCATTTCAAACACTAAGGGATTGTTCGTTATCACTCTAGTTTTTTTTTTTTTTTTTTCCATAGAACGAGTCAAGAAAAATAATAAAAAATGATTTGGAAATTTTTCTACTGTGTGATATTGACATTGAACTTCTAAATTATCCAGTAGTTAGGCTCTGGAACATAAATAAATATCAAAATTAGACAAAATGAGGCCCGATGTGTGCATGTATATTAACACAATATTTCTTTGAGATGGATAAAACAGTTAATGTGAATAGGCCTAATAATCATACATTTCATGACAATTGTAAACTTATTAAAAGTGTTCCTGTACCATGCATATACTAAAGTTCTCTGCACAGTCTGCGGTGGTTGATATATGATTTGAACACTGGAAACTAGGATTTTCTGAATTTTGTAACAAAAATAAAGTCTGTATTACCATATGTAAGTAGAGCAAAAATAATTGGAGAAAATAACCACACATGAGAAGGAAGAACAAAGAATGTGTAGGTTTATAGCACACAATGGATGTCTGCACCTGGAGTTATTCAGAAAGTGATCCAGGATTATTTGACCTAATTGAACTTTAGATATCTTGTCATCTCTATTTTCTTGGCTATATAGGAAAACAGAAATGAAGAGGTCCTTTTATTGCTAAATCCACAGAATAAATTGTGGAAAGACTTTTACAGAAACCTTGTGTCCCAGTTCTGATCCAGTGTCAATTCCATGAATGCAAAATATTTAAGTCTGACAACATGTTTTCATTACTTTTTTTTTTCCAATAGGAAGGCCCACTTGCATCTGTGCCTTGGGCTTTACTGGGCCAAACTGTGGTAAAGCAGTCTGTGAAGATTCTTGTCACAATGGTGGGAGCTGCGTTGTGACTGCTGGGAATCAACCTTACTGCCATTGCCAGACAGACTACACTGGAGACAGATGCCAGTACTGTAAGTGAGAGCATCCCCAAAATCCCACTGACAGTACATGTCGATGTTTGCATTTATAATCCTATAGCCCACACCCTGCGCTCCCTCACTGACTTCACTTTCACCTCTGTCTTTATCAGGTTCATTCCCATCACACAAACTCCACTAACTTTTACATTTGCTCTCTCCTTTTCTCAAAGGTTTGATCCCGTTTAGTAAGTTCCACTGTTACAGTCATTCCTACATTTGCGTCCTTGATTCTCTTGCTTCTTCCTTCCCTCTGTTGTTCTTTCCTGGCAAAGTGGTCATCATTACTCTGTTCATCCCTCCCACTTTTCTAAACAGGTGATACAAGGGAATGCAACTACAGTTCTGCTTGTCTCGACTTATCACTAAGTTCAGACCAACACTTAGGATAACTTTTATTGGGTTTCATAATCAATCAATTTCCTGTTCCCCAACTTCCTCCTCAGACCTCTCAAACGTGCTTCCCCAAGAGACGTGCTTTCTGTTTCACTGATACAAAGGACGTCATGCAAAGGAGGCTACCTCCAAGCCCTCCTAAACTGCTTCACACCCATGTTAAAACTTCTCTCATAACTCGGAACTCCCTGCTTCCTGCAATCGCACACTACCCCTTCCGTGTCCAATTCCTCAGTTGCCTGTGAACAGAACTCTTTTCTTCAACTTATTGGTACTTTGGTCTCCACGGAGCCCTTTCTGAAGATGACAGCCGAAACCTAGTCACAGCTTCGTTTCCCTGTTGTCACGCTGGCTTTTATTTCGTTAGCAGCAATGTTTCAAAATGTTTTCATTGTCTATAATCCTCTGTTTCTAATTCTTCACTGACTTCACTTCTGTCACGTTTTCATCTTTATTGTTCTGAGATGTCTGTTAGGAAAGGTACGTTGATTGATTTTGCTATGTCTAGTAAGCAATTCTTAATCCCTGTTTTATATCTGTATTCAGAAATTTATCATGCCCTGTTTCTTCAAATAGTCTTCACTTATCTTCGTGGACGCCCATACCTCATGTTTCCATTTACGTTTTACTTGTTGTGGATTTACAGGATTGTTGTTGGCCATTCCTGCTTATCTTCCTGGAGATAAAACTTTCAATTCCAGTTTTAAACATTCAAGTGACTGAGTGCTCCATACTCCTGTTTTTCTTCTTACCACACTCAATCCTAGTGTTGCTAATTCCTATTCAACTCTGCACACTTTAGAATGAACCCGATGACTTTTCAAAACAGTTTCCCAGACATTATTTTCCAAGATTCTGAGTCTGCATCCATATAATGGGGTGTCTGTATTATTTTTCACATTCCAGATGTACTGCTTCAACATCTTCTCCCTCTAGGACTAGGCCTGGAATGCTCTACTCTCACTCCAGACCACCCTGGTGTAGTAGCCATAAGCGCCCCTGAAGTTTCATATGTGCAAATATAATTAGAACCTAGTATAAAAATGGCTTCACCAAATTGCATGACTTTTGTATCATTTAAGTGATGGTCTGGCTTTGTATCTCCCTCTGAACCTATATTCTAAATTTCATTATTTTATTCCTAGTTTTGTCTTTGCAATGGCTTAAATCACCTTTATGTTAACTTGATTTTTCTCATCTCAAATTCTCCCACATCTTTTCCTATCTCTTTAAGAGGAAACGTTCATTACTCAGTTCAAAATCTTGAAATCTTTGTTGACTCCTCTGTGTCTTTCATATCCTGTCTAAACTTTTAAGATATGCCCAGAGTATGAGTCCAGCTCCCAGCCTCTAGTCTCACCATCCTAGCTGGCAGGACTTGTCGTCTCTGTTATTGCTAACTCATCTACGTGCTTTCCCCCTTGCCTTGGTGTATATTATCAAAGGAACATCCCCAGTAGTATGTTTGATGTATAACAATTGTTTTCTACTTTAGGCACATTTATTAAATATTTTTATGTATCTATGAACTCAGATAATTATTTTTCTTTTGTTCGCTGCATTAATTCACTTCATTCCACAATATACTAGGTGTTTTTTCTTCCTCATTTAGAGAAACAGTAACAGGCAGACATAAACAGTCTCACCCAGGTACAATATGGGAGCCAAGATATGAAGCAGGTAATCAACTTTCAGGGCTCACATCCTTAACGTTACTTGACATTTGTCATAGAAGAAGCCACAGAGCTCTCTACATCTCTCGTCAGTGGAGGAAGCACATGGAACACACAGCCAAGCTACTTTCCTAGATTTATTTGAAAATGCAGCATTAAAGTCAATATCTTACCTCCTCTATTATAATGGGACACTTCTGAGAACAGCTAATTTTCAATTCTAAAATCATTTCTCTCTTATATAACACCAAGTTGTTCTTGATATAAATAGATGTGACTACCTTATGTCAAAAATCCCTTTATTTCCTGTCCAAAGTTTTTAGTGAACATGTTTCGCAGAATAACCCTCCATGCAAAGATCCACTCCAGCTACACTCGTGTTTTGTCATGGGGTCATCCCCCGACCTGACCTCTCTCCCTCCCTCCACACAGCAGAGGATTCCAACACAACTTCTTTCACAAATTCAAGATGTTATTTTTTTCTTTTATGCTCCACTACCCTCACAATCTGCAATGACTTCTGGGAAATGAAGTTCAACATCAGCTGCTATCAGCAGAGTGCTAAACTTGAACCTTTCCTTTAATCTAGGAAGACCACTGTCACCACTATCTCCATGCACATGACAAATTCTCTGGTGTTAAGACTACACCCAGGGTTTTGCAATTTCCTTTTGAAATTGGTCAGAACCTCTATCATTTTGAATTAAACTCTCCCTCCTCTAAATTTCCAAGTCTCAGTTTTTATGTCTTATGGTTTTGGTCACTGTTTTCATTTGTTTGTTTATGTGTTATCATTTCTTTAAAATTACACCTAGCAATTGTAGCTTCTGGATAAACAACAAATTACATAGATAAATCTTTCAATGAAAGTGGCTTGAAAAAAGTGAATGAAAAGTCAATTTGCTGCATAAAATCAATTGTGTACTTCATATCTGTGGGTGAGCCACTGCTATGATTTGCTGCTCTGTTTGTTTGAGACAGGGATTTCAGGCTGGTCTTAACCTCACTATCTAGTCAAGGGTGACCTTGACTCCTCTTCCTCAAGCCTCTACCTCAAGGCTGCTTGGATTGCAGGCATGCACTACCCCTCCCAGTTTGGATTCAATTTTTAAAAAATCTTGTTTTTTTTTTATTGCTACCAATTGGTATATTATTATAGAGTATTGGGGCTTTTCATTTTGTTTTTAATTGAATAATCAGCGTTTTTATTCTCTTTGAATTGCCTTAAAATGCTATATAGCCATCATTATAAAAATTTATATTCTTCCAAAACACATATTCAGTTAGCTTACATTTTAATTGACAACTTAATAGAATCAGAGTCTGAGGTGGCCTGCTGTTTTATAAGGGCTGCATTATGATTTTATCATCACTATTAACAGTCAGAGCATTTCCCACCTTTACTGCAAAGCACTTATTGAAATTAACCAATTAATCCTTAGACAGAGGTTAAATAACTTGCTCAATGTCCCAAAGTAGTCAGAATTGGACCCCAGGAGTTGTTGATCAAGATATCATCAAACACCAAGCAGGTCTGCGATGCTTTTCCTAGGCATTGCTATTAAAATGACAAATCCAACAGCTGACAGGGCATAATAAATTCAGTTTCTATCAGTTTGAGTCAGCAAAGTTCAATGGACCTGGTGTTCTCTCAAAGTTGTGTCTAGCATACACAAAGTCCTCTCTGCACAAAAGAAAGAATGACAGAACGGCTCATTATGGCACCTAATTACAGGCCCATTAGTGGTAGGTGAAACATCAGTTCTTGGTTGTGCTGAGTTAAAACATCTCACAACTCTAATTGCAGTGTAAAATCCAGAATTCTAAATGCAAATTAATGTTAGCAGCAGCGGTAAAGGGAGGACAGAGATAAATAATACTAAAGCTAAAAGTATGCATTCTATGTTACTTGTTCAATAATATACACAGCTCTATTTTTATGTGTTCTAAAGCCAAAATCCTTACTATAAATAAATAAGTAAATAACATGATATTTTGCATTTAAATGTAGGTGTTAAGTGTGATATCGATATCTGAGGTTATTCTTAATTAAATGATAACAGCATTAGAACAGAAGAGCCCATTAGGCCAACTCAATTTGCATAAGATCTAGATGACAGAAATCATGCTTGTCCCCTCATGGGCATTTTTGAAGTCTGCTAGTACTCTGCATGGGGAACCTCTATAATTTCAGCAATTTAATTTACTAGAAGTGCCCCTACCTGGTTTCTTCCTACAGGTTAACCTCCTTAAAGACATCAAGAAGTTATTTCTTTTTTCTTCTTTTTCTTCTTTTATTTGGGGGGGGTCTTTTTCAGACAGGATCTCCCCATAATCCCAGGTGGCATGGAACTCACTATGTAGACCAAGCTGACCTTGAACTCACACAGATTTGTATGCCTCTGCCTCCTGAGTGCTGGGATTAAAGCTTGCACCACCACTCCAGGCTTAAGTTTTTTCTTATCTATAGAGTTAGGAGACCTCACAATAATGCAAAGCTACAATATAATTGGTATTAGAACAAGACTCAGGTAATTTATTATGTGCTCATGGGCTGTAGATATGAGACCATAACATTATGGGATTCTTTTTAACATTGCTTTTCAAAGTAAGCTTTTTTCTGTAGTCAATGGACATGTATACACTGAGCCTGCCAAACATTCCACACTGAAACAAATGTTAGGTCAGAAATATTTCTTCTTCTTATCTTCTTATAGTCCAATGTGGTCATCAGGAAAGGAAACAAGCCATGATTGGCAGTTTAATGGAACAGAACAACTGACTGTCCTGTTGTACAGATAGCATAGAATTCATTCTGAATAGTTTCCTGAAGGAAGTGGTGTTTGAGGGGGAACCTAAGGAAAGGGGCAAACCAGGGGAAAGGGAGACAGCGAGGGCTACGCCTATGCTAAAAAGCAGGAAGGT